AGAAGGGTTGTAGGTTCTATTCCTGACCAGGACACATACCTAGGTTGCAGGTTTGAACCCAGGTTTGAAGTCTAGGTGCATATGACCCCCACCCCCATCCTGGACAGTACAGAAGGCAAAACCGACAGCTGTTTCTCTCTCACGTCGATGTCTCTCTCTCTCCCTTTCTCTCACTCTAAAAGCACTGACAAAATGTCCTTGGGTGAGGATAAAAAACTAAATGAATAAAAATGTCAGTCTACATACACAAATATGTATAGCTATACATACATAAATAAACCTTAGCAGGTTTCTGTTACTACTGAAATATATACAGAAAGTTACAAAAAATATTTCTCCTTTTCTTTTTTTCTTTTTACCTAGAGGTAGTATGAGAATAAAAAATATCACTGGACTCTGCACTCCGTGGCTTGGACTCTTGTCCACAGTACATTCTTGATTATTTTGTGATTACCAAATTAAATCAAATTACCTTTTCATACTGAACCTGCCTCCTCTTCTCTAAAATCAAGGGACAGTTTTAGTTGATGTCTTTTAAATTTGAAGTGTGATGACAAGTGATTTTTAGACACAGACATTGAGTAGTTATTACAATTTACTTTCATGTTGTATGTGTTTAAGGTTCAAATATTTTCCTCATATAAATGCGCAAATACTACAATAAAATAAAAGTTGAATTGTGTCATAATTGGTTTATAGGAATACATCTGTATGTGTTTTTATGGGGGAAGATGGAGAGCAAGGTATTTTGATATGTAAGAAACATGTGCATGCTTTTCCATAGATGAAATATGTAATTACTCAGAAAAATAACAAGAATAAATGATTTGGGTATATTTATCTCCATGGTGATTTATTTAAAAATCTTTAAATTGAATTTGTGGTTTTATGTCTAAGTCATTCATTGACCTAACATAAGTTTGGACTAAGGTTCAAATTGTCATACCTGGACTTCCCTAAAAATTTGCACATTCACTGCAGATCAGATCAGTGGATGACCCTTTCCTTGTTTTATCCAGAGCTCCAGGTAACATTGCCTTCCTTAGTAGATACCTCCTGACTAAAGACAGTTCCATAGTCACCATTATCAGCTCCCTGTCTATGATATCAAGCCAAGGGTAGCAGAAATCCCACCATATAGAGATGCCTTGCACCTTCTGAAAAGTGTCTTTGCTTACAGACAGCAGAACCATATTGTAGAAATTTTGTATATGGAATTAAAACTGGAAGCTGTGGTTAGTAGCACCCTGCAGATACATTTCCACTATAATGTATATGGTGTAATATGCATATACAAATTGATATTTAGTTTTCTCAGTGCTTAGAACTCTGTTAGATAATGGCAAGTCATGTCATCCTTTTGTTTCCAAAATTGAATTAAAAAATAAAATAATTTCTGCCATAATTTTTACTAAATGTACAATGAATACTGAGCATAATTTGATCAATTAAAGAGAACATTATTCAGATGACACTCAGCAGTTCCTTGCACAAGGAAAACTGTCACTGGAGTTAATATAAATTTTTTTTGAGTATTCCAGGACCAGCTACAAATGGATTTTTAAATTAATGTTTATTCAAGCTGCATCCTCTATACTCTTGCCAAAAATAAAGTACCTAACATTCCATTTACTAAATACAATACAATTTTTACTTGCCAATGCATTATCTAAGTATCAGCAATGCCAGGACAGGCTCAATAGGACTTGAGCATAATAAGCAAAGTGGTAACTATACTTTAATATGTGTCAGCTAATATTTTGGAATTATGTTAACTTTTTAAGAAAATTGAAAAAATACTTAACACAGAAAAGCACTGGAGATTTAAAAATAAATAAAAAATAAAATGCTAAAAAAAAGAAAAGAAAATGCTTCTATCTTTATTTTACCAATTAAACGCACAGATGTACTTACAAAACTTTAATAACCACCAAGACCAGGTTTATCAAGCAAAAGGAAGAACGAAGTGGAAAGGTGTACACTTAATCTCCATAGTGCTGTCAATGATCCAAATTCTGCTCCACTGGACACAGTATTATAGACCAAGGGTTTCAACTGCAAAGGTCTAAACTTGGAAAACCTGGGGTTTACATTATCAGTTTTCCTAAAGTGTGAATTTTAAAAATAATTCCAGCAATTCTACAACACCCATCGCCCAGCTTCTGCCCCAGGGTTAGAAGAGAAGCTTCATTTGAATATCTCCAGAGCTGTGAAAGCAAACCAAAAGTGGAGGGAGGGTGGCTTTATTTACAGTTTTAGTTCTATCACGCTGTTTAATTTATTATAGTGTAGCCAACTGAGGGGACTTGGGAGCACTACTTCAAAATGTCTAATTGTCATGAAGATAAGAACACTGTAACACCAGGAATCACTTCTATAATATCAAGTATAGAACTGAGATAAAGTAATTTAGGAAAGCTATAAAAAAATGAAGGCTTTATGTCAGATAAAATATCAGATTTTTAATCTGCGCCTTAAGGAATTAAAAGGTGGCAACCCTCAAATTTTTCCTTAGATGAATTCAGTACCAAAGGGGGGAAATTATAACAAAACCCTGTATTTTTTTTTTTATAAACTTTATTTTATGTCAGGTTTAATCAAAGAAAATGCATTTTGGCACTGTGCAAAAACTAAAGGTAGTATCTTTTTAAAATAAAAAGAGAAAAATCATCTATTTATGGTATAAAAATCAGAACAAAAAAGATCCTTTTTATTATGTCAGATGTCTAAACAGAATGTAACTTTGTAAATGGATCCCTGTCCCCTGACAGCAATATTGAGATGAAGTGTATCAATTACTATTACTAATTACATTAAGGGGAATGTATTCCATTCACTTTTATTTCATTTTAGGTTAGTTATTTATTGTGGTTAAAAGTTTATTCATCTGTCGACTATCTAATGACATGCAAGTTTTCCAGAATCATTTTTGGCAAACTACATGATTTATTCTAATGGCTTTGTAGGGTATGTGAACTTTTTTTTTTTTTCTCAGCTAAGAGACTAACACCATACATTAGTTTATTTATAAGCATATCACTTTGCCTTTTAAACAGGATGCCACAACAGTCTTGATATTGGCTGTTTTAAATATTCAAGAATATAGAGCTAACCCCATTTGATGAGCCAAACAAAGCTTAAGTGACAGCACAGGCTGTATGAGGTGGTTCCATTAAAAAAAAAAAATCTAATGAATCTGCCACTGATACCTCCACTCAAAAGTTTAAGATTCTGCCATTTAGAATGAAAATGTCATTCAGCCACAAGGCAAAAAGTCCTATCAGGATAACAGCTGAGAAGTAAATACTCTGCAGAAAGATCCCTCTTCTGGGCTTTGCATTACAAATTATCATTTTTAAGGGAATTTCAACAGATCTCAATTTATTTTTGGGTGTTTATAAGTAATCTTACAAAAGCACTATTATTTTAACTGCAATCGTCCTTGTTTATAAAACTGATAAGAGCGCTAAAAACAAAACAAAAATCTGCTTCTAACTCCAGGTAAAGTGGTGACACCACAGGTATCAACTTTCCACTTGTCAAATTTCACTTTCAAAGAAATAAATAACTCAGCCTTGCAGGCATCAAAAGACTTACTTTCAACCATTTAATCCAATGTAGTTCAACCTGTGTTTTCTTGGATTGCCTTGATTATTGGATATAATAATAAACCATATTAAGTCTGATTCTCCTTATCCAAATACTATATACGGAAAACATTTCTTTAAGAAACTAATGTTTAAAAGTATGAAAGCAGTAAGAAACTATCTCTTTTCTATAATATCTTTAATGTGCCCATAAATTTACATCTTTAGAGGCTATAAAAGAACTTTTTCCTTTGCCTTCCTCTCAGATTACATATTCCACATGCGAAGCATACCTAACAGATAAACTATTATTCAATACTATCTGACAGTTATAAATGTGTTTCTTGGAATGAGCCCAGAAATTAAGAAATATGTAACTTAGTAGAAGATTTATTGGTAGAATTGCTAGAGCATCACACTCAACAGTTTCCAAAAGGTTTCATTTGCTGTATGTGAAACTTTGCTGGGTGTAAAAAGTAAACTTTGTGGGTATTACATATGCCACACAAGCAAAACTTTCAAAAATATATTTTATACTTTTTTTTTTACTGTTTCCACATTTCACTGAGAAACAACTGTAGCACATATTCCACATAACCTTTATAGTCTCGGTTTAGCAGAATGCATACCAAAATATTCTTGCACACAGTTCATCAAACATGAACACTTTTTTTGCTTGGATTAGTAAGTGATTCATACAATGTACTTTAGCTTATAAACTTTTAATACAAAACAGGAAGAATGCAGGTGCTGACTGTATAACCTCATAAAAGTCTAATCGTTATAGGTATCAAAGTATTAAAAATGTGATTTTCATGACATTTGCATATCACTAAATGTTTTTAGATCACCATTTTTGTCAATGTAAACAGTACTTCTATATCTCAGACTTGGTGCAATATTTGCATGAGTCAGCATTCGCTTATCTGTAGAATTCTGCATAATGTGTAACAACACAGCTAAAACTTTTATAGTATGGAGTTGCATAGACACCAGTAGTTAACTTTAGAAATTCTCCCTGGATACAGTTATCTACTTAGTAGCCACAAAAGAAAATAATTTCAGGTTAAAGCTAATCATCCAAACTGTATATACATATTTGTTCTGGAAACAGTAAATGTAGGATGGATTTGGGCTGTCAAGTGCAAAGGGAAGCACAAAACACTGCCTATCTCGCACGTTTTCTGTAGTAGCTTAGTAAACACTGGTCTAACTTGAAAAAGGCAGCGGTGTACCTTGCATAGATGGCCTCTACCAAGTTAATGATGAATGAGTTAACATTAAATTGCTGCTATTGAAGCTTTAAATCACAGGTCTAAAAAAAGAGAAGACCAAACTTTGCAGGAGGCGCTTTCTGTCTCAGAGTCATTAGCCTTGCCTGGGATATTTAAATATATCTGAGATGCAGCTTACCTGTTTGCTGTACTTGTTATTGGTTTGACAGCTGTATTCAGAGCAGTGATCTGATCCAATTGAAATGTTGTCTCCTGCTCCCACAAATGTGTTGGCTGGTGGTAGATCTTGTACGGCTTGGTGTTTTTTTCCTGCAGTTGGTGACTGGGGGTGAAGCTGGACAGTGGGCAATGGGGAGCTGGATTTGTAATGCCTGGCCAGGTCAGGACTACCAGGCCCACCGTTAACGGATCGGTATCGGCCCATGCTGGGGCTGTCTGACAGCTTCTCGTTGACACTATCGTACCTCTGTCCATTTGGTTTAGAAGCTTCTACAGTGACAATGCTGCTGTAGAGAGGCTGCTTGGATTTTTTGTTTTTCTTGTCCTTTTTAGGCTTTTTAGATTTGTCATGCTGCTGGGGTGTAAAAAAGTCTTCATGATCTTTTTTGCCAGCCTCATAGCCATTTTTGTTTTTGGAACGGCAGTACCTTGCCATCACTACAATTAAGATGATTAGGATCACTGTCATAATTCCAGCAACCACCCCGATGACAATACTAAGTCTCTGCTTGCTAATTTCATAGCTTGGGTCACCAGCTATGTCCTGGGTGAGTGGGGTGTGCAAACTTCTGGCTATCTGAGAGTCAATCACAGTTGCATTAGAGACACTTTCATTGACAAACACATGCACCAGGGCCGTGGTGGACTGGGAAGGCTGCCCACTGTCATTCACTTGCACCACCAACCTGTGCAAACCATAATGCTTTTGGGTGAGTTTTCCCACTAAGGAAACCACACCACTGGTGGAATCAATCTCAAAGAGCTTGAAGGGATTCCCTCCCACAATGCTGTAGTTAAGGTCTGCATTGATACCATCATCGCTGTCTGTTGCCAACACTGTAGCTACTACTGTCCTGACATTACTTGAAGGTGGCAGTAAAGTGTAGGAAATGTTTTTGGGAAGGGTAATTGTGGGAGCATTGTCATTCTCATCCATAACGAAGAGAGAGACGGTGGCTGTGGCTGATCTGGGAGGATCGCCTCCGTCCACAGCCTTGACTCTGAATGTGTATGTGGTCTGATGTTCCCGGTCAAAAGACATTGTGGAGTAAATGGTCCCAGTGTCATTTTCAATGGAAAAAATGTTACTGTTTTCCTCGATGTAGAGGCTCATCTCTGCATTGCGCCCCTTGTCAGCATCCATCACTGTGACCATTCCCACGGGGCTGTTGGGCTGCAAGTTTTCTTTCACATAAAAGGTAAAGACGTCCTGCATAAACTTAGGGTCATTGTCATTCTTGTCGGCCACCTGCACGATCACCGTGGTGCTGCCCTGCAGCACCGGGATGCCTTTGTCTTTGGCGTTAACTTTAAACTCGTACCTGTCGGTCTGCTCGCGGTCCAGTACTGTATTGACGAGGATGTCCCCAGAATCGGGATCGATGGCGAATGTCCCCATCACGGAGGAGTCCAGGGAGTAAGCTATCTCCGCGTTCTTCCCGCTGTCGGCGTCTGTCGCCAGCACTGTGGCCACCCTCTCACCAGGGATGTTGTTCTCAGGAAAGTAGACCTCCACCACTGACTGGCCGAAGACCGGTGGGTTGTCGTTGGTGTCTCCCACCTTGACAATCAGAGAGTTGTTGCTGGAGAGGCTGGGGCTGCCTGAGTCCACCGCCACTATGACCACGTTAAACTCCCGGGTGGTCTCATAGTCCAAAGGGGCCGAGGTGTGCAGGAAGTACTTTTTCTTGTTCTGGTCGCCTTCCGTGTCGCTGGCTGGCTTGAGCTGGAAGGGCACGTCCCCGACCACGGTGCAGGTGACCACCCCATTCTCCCCTTGGTCTCGGTCGGACACCTGCACCAGGGCGATGGGAGTGTCGACCAGAACGTCCTCGGCCACGTTGGCCACCCCGTCCTTGAGTGGGATACGCCCAATCTTGCGGATTTCAATAGACGGCACGTTGTCGTTCTCATCCTTGATGATGAGGACCACGGTGGCCTTGTCGGTCTTGGGGGGCTGCCCGCGGTCGCGGGCCATGACGGTGAAGCGCAGCTGGTTCACCTCCTCGCGGTCTATGCGGTGCAGGACACTGAGCCAGCCGGACGTCTCGTCCAGGCGCAGCAGCCGCCTCACGGACTCCGTAGCTGCCCCGAACACGTACTCGATCTGCCCGTTGACCCCCACGTCCAGGTCAGTGGCACGCAGCTGCAGAATAGGGGTCCCTGGGGCGCTGTTCTCGGCCAGGTCAGCCTCGTACACGCTCTTCTCGAAGCGGGGGCTGTTGTCGTTCACGTCGGTGATGAGCACCCGCAGGATGGCCTGTGAGGAGCGGGGCGGATCGCCCCCGTCGCGCACCCGCAGGGTCAGCTCGTAGGAGTCGCGTTGCTCGCGGTCCAGCGCCCCCTTCACGATCAGCTGCGGCTGCTTCTCGCCATCCGGGGTGTCGGCCACCTGCAGTTCGAAGACGCTGCTGCGGCCGCCGGGGTTGGTCCCGCCGCCGCCACCCTCTGGTGCGTCCAGCCGCCGCTTGGAGCCGCCGCCGCTGACGCCGTTCCCGCCGCCCCCGGGGTAGGGGGCGCTGTCTGCAGGCCCGGCGCGCCGACCCTCGCCGCCACCTCCCCCGGGTTCCTGGAGCAGCTCGTAGCGCTCGATGCCGTTGCGGCCGAAGTCGCGGTCGGTGGCTGTGGGCAGCAGGTACAAAGTGCCCACCGGCCTGTTCTCCTCCACCGTGAGGGTGAGCACCGGCGAAGGGAAGGTGGGCGTGTTGTCGTTGATGTCCAGCACGATGACCCGACCTTCGAACAGGTCCACCCAGCTCTGCGAGGGCCCGATCACCGACACCTCGAAGTCCAGGAAACACTCGTTCTCGTCGAAGATCATCTGACACTGGGGCAGCTTCTCGCGGTCGATGCGCCGCTCACTAGTGCTCAGCTCTCCCGTGAGGTTGTCGATCTTCAGGTACTCGGAGCCTGACTCGAGGCTGAACGTCACCTCACCCGAGCCGGTCACGATGCCCAGGTCCGAGGCGACGTTGCCGATCCGGACATCTGCTGGGCCCTCCTCGGCCAGCCGGTACCGGAGGAGTTGCTTGGCGGCGGCCAGGCTGAGCGAGAGCGGCAAGAGGAGACAGCAGCCCAGGCACCAGCCGCGCGCCCATCCCGCGGTCCGCATCCTCAGCATCTTCTCCTGCTGCTGCTGCTACTGCTCCTTCTAATCGCAGCCCCCTCGGCGCCCCCCTCCTCCGGGGCCGGCCGCCTGCCCTCCTCCCAGACCTCTCCTCTCTCCGGGAAAGGAAAAAGCGAGAGGGAGAGGTGGGAGGGGGCAAGAGCAGGGTGTAGAGTCGGCCAGGGGAAACCAGCGATAGATCCTTTTTTTTTTTCCTCCTGCTTCTTCCGAAAGTTATTGTTTCATAATTCATGCAATGGGTGCTAATCGCCCGCTCGCTGGCCGCCGTTCAGTCGCAGTACTCACAGTTCACGGGACACTGCGCGCCACGGGCTCGGCGCCCCCCCGGAGTCATCCCCGCAGCAAGCGGAGGATCCCGGGCTCCCGTCCTGGCTCTGTCGGAAGGGGCCGGTACCGCTCCGGCAGGCGGGCGGTGGAGCCGGGAAGCGGCGGGGAGCGAGCCTGCAGCCTCCCCCGCCGGCCAACCCTGCCAGTCTTTGCTGCTACTCGAGTTGAGTCCAATTCACGTTTCAGCCACTCAGTCCAGACCCAGCTTCTGCTCCGGCTGCCCAGAAAAACGTGAGTCGCTTCCTGCACGAGGCGCTGGGGTCAGCAACAAGCCAGTCTCAACTCCGACTCCGTTCAGGCAGAGGGGGAGCCAGTCAACAGATTGAGAATGAAAAACACCCGTCAGGTTGCTTCGGGCACCGAGCAACGGAGACCACTCGCCTTACAGAGCGGTCCGCGTCCGGATTCCCCCCGCGCGCCCAAGAGCAGCCCGAGCCATGTTCAGAGTCGGTCCCTTCTCACCCCGAGAGCTGCTTTTCTTTTTTTTTCTTAACAACTCTGCGCAAGGTCATTAGTCACGAAGCCGCCCTCTGAAACCGCAGCAGCAGTTCGCCCGTGGGGGCGAAGGCTGAGCCGAGCGCACCGCGCGGCGCCCAAGTTTGGGTTCGCAGCCGCAGAGTCCGTGCCTTTCCTCACCTGCATTCGGCCCGCATGTCGGAGCACTGGGATCTGCAGCGCTGTGCGCGATTCAGGGAGGAGATTGCAGCCTCTCTCTCTCTCTCTCTCTCTCTCCCCGCTCTCTCGATCCCTCCCCTCCCTCCCTCTCTCCTCCCTCCTCCTCCTCCCTCCTCTCCTTTCCCCTTTCCCCTTCTCCCACTCTCTCTCCTCCTGCACTATCCGTTTCCTTCCACCCAGTCCCAATGCAGGCAACTCGAGCTGAACTTGATCCCTTTGCAGTTCAAAGGTGTGCAAACCCGGCTCTGTGCGCAGGCGACGTTGGCCCGGCGAGTGCCCCTGACCAGGCTCTCCCAACGGCAATTAACAAAGATGCCCAATTCTGTCCGGATTTCCGAAGAAAAGCCAAAGGCATTGGGGAGGGAGTGGAGGGGGAGGTGGAGTCAAAGACAGCTGCCAAGTAGCTTGGGGTGGGGGGGGGGGCGCGAAACAAAAACAGTTTGCCAAGGGGAGAAAAAGTGCCAGTCGGTTGTTGCCTCGGAAGTGCCCTGGCTCGGCGGGTGAATTCCGCAGTTGTCTCGTCCCCTTTCGCGTCAAAGAGAGTCTGGCGCGGGCGCTCCCGCCGCCCCTCGGGCCGCCACGGCTCTAAGACACTGAATGGCAAGTGGGAAGCTCCCACTCAGGAGCCGCGAGCTGGAAACCCGCAAGTTTGCCCAAAGTGGTGGTTGCTGCTAGTGGCTCAAGCTTGTCCCTGACGCTGCTGCAGCAGCGGCGGCGGCGATAGCAGCTGAAGCGCTGAAACTACACACTCGCAGAGACGGAGGGAGGAGTGTGTGTGTTGCAGGGGGGAGGAGGCGGCAGGAGGGAGGACTAGTCAGCCGCCGCGCTCGGGAAAGCCGGGCTTCAGCTCCCGGGGCCACTCGGAGTGTGCACTGTCCTAATCAGTCTGCCCCTAAGCTAAAGCACTCTCCCCGCCGCCCCCTGCCCAGGTCCCCAGCGAATGCAGCCACTGTCTTCTCGGAGGGACTTGTTTTCCCTCCTTTGGGCTGGTAAATTTCCTCCTCTCTTTAACGCCCAGTGCGTCTATGAGAGCGCTGGAGCGGGGTCTGGAAACGTTTCCCCTGCGACCTCTCCCCCTTCTTAGAGCCTATTCCCCACCCCCACGATGTTTCTCGGGTTTGCGATCTTGGTTAGGGGATGATTACCCGTGGCTTGGGGGACCCCGCGTGCGCCCGGGGAGCCTCGCTGGTGTTCTGAGAAACCATGATGGGCTGCAGTGGTTAGGAAAGACCGTAAAACTCCAGAGAAAGCGGGAGAGAGGTCCTTTTTGGGGAGCGTGGACTTCGGTGGACTGGGGTTAGGGTTGGTGGGCTGGCGCTTGTCTTTGTTTAAATGCTTGGCAGTCCTGTCTTCTTGCTTGCTTACGGGGGTAGACCGTTTTTGTGCGCGCGCCTGGGGAATAAACACACGTTGGAAGCCTCAACATTTTCTGAGCAAAAACCTGCAGCCTTTAGTAACTGGCAAAGTGTAGCGTCACCTATCTGGATAAAAGGGAAATAAACTTTAATGGCAACTTTGTGTACCGAAGTGTCCCTAGCTCCTTTTTCTTTCCTTTTTATGACTTTGTGCCACTTGATCGTACATGGAAGTTCCCCATGCGAGGCTTCCCTAAGATTCAATCACGGCCACTGCAGCCCGCCTCTTGAGATCTCAGTTCTAGCTGTGTTTTCTGAACTGTAGCCATTTACTCTGCATTTATTTCAGCAGTGGTTAAAGGAGTGGGGGGCACCAAGATTAAGGAGGTTGAAGCGGGCAGGAGATATTTGGGGAGAATTCTTACCCTGTCAAAAGAGAACAAGGGGCTTCTGCTGGAATTTGGTTGTTACTTAGCTCGTCTGTCCAAGCTACGGGCATTGAAGCGCCGCCCCTTAAAGGAAAATTTAAAGCGAAAAGAAAAACAAAAAATCTGTCCGTAGTGGGTACTCTATCTTTATGAGACCTGTGTGAGCAGGCAGAATGATTTAAACCAGATAAACACCAATAAAGTCTACGGGCAGCTGTAGCGCGCGGTTGTTTGAGCGGGCGCAGCCAGCAGGAGTGGGGAGGGAAGCGGCAGAGATTTCCAAGCTTTCCCTAAGGGGGATAGTGAGGCGCGGAGGTGGAAGTGTGTGTGGTATGTGTCAGGGAGCTGGCGAGTATTTTCCAGTCTGCTAAAGCAGCAACGCTCCGGGTGCCGGCTCCTCCTCCGCGGCCAGGCCGGGAACCGGCCTCCCCCCGACCCTGGTCCACCCCCTCCCACCCCAGCCCACCCCAGCCGCTGCCACCACCCGCGCCTCTCAGCTCTATATCTGCAACATCAGCGAGAAAATCCCGGCGCGCAGACTCAGTGCGCACCGCCGCAGTCTGAAGCCGCGGACGGGGGCGTGGGGGGGGCGGGGGGGCGGCGGCGGACGGGAGCGGGTGCCGCAGCGCCTCCGCGGCTGGCTAAGTGGCATTAACCCCGAATCCCCTACATATTTGGCAAACTCTGGTTTATCAGGGTGCCTGCCACCCTCAACACCTGATCCCCTTTTTTGCCAGGATCCCAGGCGAAAGAAGGAAGCTGTCTCTACTCCGCGGTCTTTCACGGGTGCATTCCGATGCGCGGCAATATGGTGCAGTGCACTCAACCCCCTCGCCGCCTTTACTAAGATTTTGCAAACTTCAGGCAGCTGTGTGGACGGAGACGTGGCGCACTCCCTCGTTCCTCATCAGACCGTAAACTTGAACAAACCCCTCCACATCTTCAAACATTCACCCACCGCCCCAGCGCGCACTCTCCAGGTGCACAGTCATGGGGGGCGAAGGAGTGGGTGTCTTTTTCCCGAGCGCGCAGCAAATTTCCTCCCAGATGACCCGGGGTGCAGCGTGTCCTTCACAGTGCAGTCGTTTTCTCATTGCAAGCGGGAGGTAGTCCCCAGCCCGTCCTCCCTACTCTCATCCCTACCAACTCTGCCGCCGCGCCAAGTCAGCGTGGGAAATGGGTCCGACGTGTGCAGCATGGAGAACAGCGCGGCCAGACTGCCAGAGCCGTGAAGCCTCCTGGCGTCCCTCCCCCCGCTGGTGCCTGGCTCCCACCTTTCTGCGGTTGCAGCCGAGGAACCTCGGCGGCTTAGCTCCGCGACGCGGCTCTAGGGAAAGGGTACGGAACGAGCGGGGTGGGGTGTGGGCGAGGTTAGAGGAGACCTCGGGGCGCCCTTGTCGCGGCCGGAGCTCGCGATCCTCTTCCGCCCCCTGTCTAGAGAATGACACTCCTACTCCAGCCTTCCGCCGGCGCGGAGGATGAATGAAGGCGAGAAGCGGTTTCCCCCACCCCCGCCCCATTTCCGCAGTCTTACAGCCAGTGTCACAAGTGCTCAGCAATTTCATTAAATGGAACCGGGGACTTAATCCCCCACCCCTCTCCCCACCCCCGTGCTAGACCTCACCAAGGGAATACGATATCCGGCTTCGCTCCCACCCGCAAACCCCTCCCGGCTTTTCAGCCCCGAGGCTGCATTTATCTTCTCAACCTGAGAGGAAAGGGTTCAGAAGGAAATGGGATCGAAAGTGTAACCGGCTGCAATAAATTAAAGAGCCGGCTGCTGGTGCTGCTGCTTTGACGGCCAGAACTGAAGAGAGAAACCGAGATCAGTGTCCTAAAACCTGCGCTGATCAGAGTAATAGTACATCATCAACTGTATGAAGCAACAATGTTTGAGGGAATGTCGAAATGTAGGGGATTTATTATTTTTTTTCGTTTTTAAGGACAATAATAAGAAATGTCCCTTTGAAACCAAGATATAAAATAGGAAATGGACGTTTAACAAAAGTTTGGAAAATAATTTCCTTTCTATGCCAAATATCTTTAACTTACAATGTTCGGTGTGTGTGTGTGTGTGTGTGTGTGTGTGTGTGTTAATTTACCTACTAACCTTGCTTGCTTGAAACTGTTATGCAGTTAAATTTCAGTGACTGGGCTGAAAAATAACACTCAGGGTCCTTGATGTAGTTTAAGCCTCAAGAAAAGACAGGAAGAGAAGTAACGACAACAAAAGTTTATGGGTAAAGATACAAAGAAGTAGGTGCTGGAGACACGATCTCAGGGTGGCTTCCATTTATTATAGACGCTATATGCACAATAATACTAGAAAAAGGTTAAATACAGTAAACAGAATAGCCAGTTCTGGAAGAAAATAGAAAGCAGTTTGACGGGAAGGGAGAAAGTGACTCAAGAACTCCACCAAGGGACAAACAGAGGAAATGACACCTCTACATCTTCAAATTCATTGACCTTTCATCTTTTTAAAAGGATCCTTTTATGTCCACTTACACATGTGTAGATACGCTTTTGAAGCCTGTACGATCAATCCTACCCCTGCTAGATTTGGTAAATTTAATTATTTAGTCTTTCTTCACTAAATGATTAGAAATGATTGTCCCTTAAACATTTCAAATAGTAAATGTTAACTGTGCATAACTATTGTCTTCTAGCAAGTATGATTCTGATCCTTGGGACTATGAGAAACGTTAGGCATATTTTGCAACCTTAAATCCAACCTTGTAGTGTTAAAATGTGTAGTAGACTGAAATGGCTAAATTATTCATTGCAATAACAGACGTTTTGATGGACATTAAAACTCAGCAGTTTAAATAAGGAAACCACAGATTTCCTTTTAAGCAGGTAGTAACTGCTTGCATCAGTGGTTATTTAATTGGTCTCCAGCCAAGAAATAGAACCAGTTGTGCCATTTAAATTATGAAATCATG